TTTTTTTTTTTTTTTTAAAGTAGAGACGGAGTTTCACCATGTTGGCCAGGCTGGTTTCGAACTCCTGACCTCAGGTGATCCACCCACCTCAGCCTCCCAAAGTGCTGGGATTACAGGCGTGAGCCACCGCGCCCGGCGTTGTTTTGTTTTTTAATCAGCAGTGGTTTTGGATTCCAAAGCTCTCAGTACCAAGGCCCATGCATTTGGTCTAGCTGTCATGTACTCTTCAGTTTCTCAAACTGAAATTGTCCCCCACTATGTGTTTTTCATAGCATCAGCCTCTTGCAGAGTCCGGGCAGTTTGTCTTTCGTGGGATGATCCATCATCTGGAGTTGTCTTTTCTGGTGTCATCACCTCTGTGTGGTGCTGGATGAGGTGTTAGTTGGAAGTTCACATGCTTGAGCTGCCTGTAGTGAGCTTGTCCAAGGGAATGAGCCTAATTTCTTTCTGCTGCTTCATTCTAGGACTGTGAGGAATGTATCCAGCTGGAGCCGACCTTCAGTAAGTACCTTTCTGCTGCCTGTCCCCTGTCTCTAGCCAAAAGATTAGAGAAGGAAAGGGCAAGCCCTTTGTCTACCTGTGTGTCCTTGGGACCTGTAGCATTTAGGATCCAGCATCAGCAGGTGTGAACAGTGTTGATGTGCAGGTGAAGAGGCGCAAGGAGCAGCCTTGGGCGCTGCGTTGGGATAACGCACCACCTCTCCTGTCTGTAGTCAAGGGTTATACACGGAAAGCTGCTGCCCTGGAAGCGATGAAGGACTACACCAAAGCCATGGATGTGTACCAGAAGGCGCTAGACCTGGACTCCAGCTGTAAGGTGGGGCTGCTTCTGGGGCTCCAGGGCTCCCCCTGCCTCTTTCTCTGTTGGGTCTTTTCCACGTTCAGTCCCTGATTTCTCCCCTGTCACCTCCATTTCTCTGTTTCTCTCTTACTTGCTCTGTCTTCCCTTGTCAGTTACCTCTGTTATCTTGGACCTGCTGAAGTAGTGAGCTGGGTGGTGCCAACACTCTTCCCCTTTGTCTCTTCTGGACTGCAGGAGGCGGCAGACGGCTACCAACGCTGTATGATGGCGCAGTACAACCGGCATGACAGCCCCGAAGATGTGAAGCGACGAGCCATGGCCGACCCCGAGGTGCAGCAGATCATGAGTGACCCAGCCATGCGCCTTATCCTGGAACAGATGCAGAAGGACCCCCAGGCACTCAGCGAGTACGTAGAGTCAAAGAGGTGGCCTTGCTGGAAATGGAGAACCAAAGCAGGCAGATGAGCGCACACAGCTGGGAGGGGTGTGCTCGGTATGGGAGGAAGAGGAATTCTGTCATTCTTCCTCAACTTGAGGAGATTGGTAGTGGGTGGAGAGCTGGAAGGGCCTTCCTTGTTTGTCATGATAGCTTAAGCAGTCATTTGGAAAGGCCCATTTAGCTGGGAGAAAGGTCTTAGCTGGAAACTGTGTCGTGGGCTTGGAGTAGGACTGGCAAGTTCTGCGAAGTGGAGCAGGCCTCCGCAGCTCTGCGCCCCAGGCCTCGCCAGGACCCCTCCCTGCCGGGGCCTTCTGTAGAGGGGGTTGAATTGGGGCTTGCTCTGAGAGGAAGTAAGATTTTAAAGGTTGTCTCATTTCAAATAACTGCCTCTTCCTCTGTAGACACTTAAAGAATCCTGTAATAGCACAGAAGATCCAGAAGCTGATGGATGTGGGTCTGATTGCAATTCGGTGATGACTTGTTCATCCCCCTTCCCTTCGCCCTCATGTGGAAAGAGGAGCTGGGACCGCGGCGAGCAGCACGGAGCGGAAGGGAGAGCAGGGGAGAGAAGGCCTCATCTCTCTATATTTATACATAACCCCGGGGAAGACACAGAGACTCGTACCTGCGCTGTTTGTGCCACCGCTGCCTCTGGGCCCTCCCAGCACACGCATGGTCTCTCCACCGCTGCCCTCGAGTTCCGTATCTCCTTCCCCTGCCCCCAGTTGCTGTCTCGGCTGCTCTCCCATAGTTGGTTATTTTTTATTTGGGGCAGTGGGCATGTATGGGGAGGGGAGGGGGTTCTTCCAGCCTCAGGTCCCAGCTGTCTCACGTTGTTTATTCCGCGTCCCCTTCTCCAATAAAACAAGCCAGTTGGGCGTGGTTATATGTTGCTTTGGCCTTGAGTGTTTTTTTTTTTTTTTTTTTTTTTTTTTAAACCAAGAGTTTGTCTTGCAGGGGTTGCTCCTGGAACCTGATCTCGCTCTTCTCTTTGGGGTGGGCTTAGGAGGAGTCAGGTGGCTTGGCACAGCTCCATGGCTTTGCTGAGAGGGTTGCTAGGTGGCGCTGTTGCTCAGCGGCTGGAAGGACATCTGGAGGCTTCCCCACCCCAAGTGGTACTAATGAGAGGTTCAGATAAGCTTTGGGGTGTCCCCGGTGCTGTTAGTTCCCCACATTATAGTCCCAAAGTTAGAAACTGGCTAGATCCAGAGAACAGAATTTCAGTGTGACCTCTGTGGGGGAAGGGCAGCTATACTGTCAGTTGCTGTTAGATTTAGGAGTTGGGTCATGGATTGTTTTTGTTTTGTTGTTTGAGACGGAGTCTCAGGCCGGAGTGTAGTGGTGCGATCTCAGCTCACTGCAACCTCCACCTCCTGGGTTCAAGCGATTCTTCTACCTCAGCCTCCCCAGTAGCTGGAATTACAGGAGCCCGCTACCACACCCAGCTAATAATTGTATTTTAGTGGAGACAGCTGTTTTGCCATATTGGCCAGGCTAGTCTCGAACTCTTGACCTCAAGCGATCCGCCTGCCTCAACTTCCCAAAGTGCTGGGATTACAGGCATGAGCCACCACACCCCACTGGGTGATGGGTTTTTGTTTGTTTTTTCTTTTTCTTTTTTTTTTTTTGAGAGGGAGTCTCGCTCTGTCGCCCAGGCTGGAGTGCAGTGGCACGATCTCGGCTCACTGCAAGCTCCGCCTCCCCGGTTCACGCCATTCTCCTGCCTCAACCTCCTGAGTAGCTGGGACTACAGGCATCCGCCACCACGCCCGGCTAATTTTTTTTTTTTTTTTTATGTTTAGTAGAGACAGGGTTTCACCATGTTAGCCAGGATGGTCTCAATCTCCTGACCTTGTGATCTGCCCGCCTTGACCTCCCAAAGTGCTGGGATTACAGGCGTGAGTCACCGCCCCCGGCCTGGGTGATGGTTACAATGCACGTCTCTCACCTGAGAATTTAGGGTTCTAAGCTTTAATTACACTTTTCCATGGTTGCAAAAAGCTGCGTTTTCTAAAGCTGTCTTCCTGGACTGGGGAGGCCTCTGGGGCAGGAGTAAAACTTCCTCATTTGCTCCAAGAGTGCTGCTTTTTGGGCTAGGAAGGCTCTGAGACTAGCAGCTGGCTGGACTTCCTGCTGCTAGTTTCATCAGCTTGCTTTTCCCCTGGGAATCCCCAGCAGGCCTCCCCCTTCCTCATCTGGGTGACGCCGTTTAGGCAGCCTCCCCCATCAGCAGAACTCTGCCGCCCCCAGGCTTGCCCACCCTCTGTGCTCCGATCCCCAGTGTATTCACTGGAAAGGCCACTGTTGTGTGCAGAGCTGGTGGCGGATATGCCTTGCTCTACTAAAGCCCACATCCTAGGACATGTGATGAGCAGGAGGGTATAGACCACCAGAGACCCCTGAGGTGACACCTAAGCAGGGACTTGATGGGAGTGAGCCTTGTGGGGACTCAGGGAGGCACGTCCAAGTGGAGCACAGTGGAGGTGTGTTTGGAGCTGGGGGACCTGAGGGCCTGGGAGATTGTGAATGGTCAGGTCCAAGTTCTGTTCACTCATTCGCCTGGCAGGTCTGAGTTCATGAGTTTGAAAGTAGCCCTATGCGGAGCTAGGAAAAACTGCAAAATGGACTTGTTTCCCTCTGGGGCCTTGAGGGATCTTTGGTTGATAGGGACAGCCAGACTGGAGCCGATTTGACCTGTGAGTCCCAAATAACCTGGATACACTCTGTCAACTCCTGAGCTCTCCCTCCGGCAGCCCAGTGATGTTTCAAAGCCCAAGGTCCCCACCTCATGTGACAGGCTGGGGATGGGAGACGCTTCCCACAAAGGCGGACCCAGCCCTGAACACAAACAGTCGGGGGACTTGTTGAGTTTGCACTGAGCTTCCCTCCAAATGAGGCAGGGGGCGTTTTTGACGGTGCTGAGTCGCTCAGCCGGCTCTCCCTAGCTTCCTGTGCTCTCTGGGGACAAAGGTAGGGGCCCCTGGAACCCTCTGCGGGCTGGCAGCGTGCTTCCTGCACCCAGCGCCAGCCCGCCCTGGGGAGGGGCTGAGCCCGCCCTGCTCGTGATAAGGCACAGGCAAGGGCTCCCTTGAAGGAAGCTCCAAAGAGAAAGGAGGGCAGGAAGCCCACAACCCTCAGGGGTGTAGCCTGAGGCCCACCTGCAGCCCCCAGCCCTTGCCAGGAAAGGTAAGCTCGGGCCTCACGGGGACCACGGGCCCTTCTCTTCCTTATCCTCCTGCAGCCTCTGCCCAGCCTGCCTCTCGCCATGCGGCAGCCTGAACTTTCCACCTCCCCCGGGAGGCTTTGGCTGGTTTGTGATGTTGGCATTGAGTTGTGGGCCAGGATCAGAATTATTTCCTGGCCTGGGTACAAAGCCATGGCCAGAGTGGGCAGCTGCCCCTGAGGGTCTGGGGGTGAGCTGTGGGCTGGCATCGAGCAGGGTGGTCCTGAGTGAGCCCCTTCTTACCCGGCCTCAGTCTGCCTGTCTGTAGGATGGGAGCGGGTTGGACTAAATGGTCTCTGAGGGCCCTCGCAGCTCAAGCGCCAGCGCTGGTGAGATGGTCTGAGGGTACCATGGGCATACTGGCCTGGGGGCTCGCTCCTGCCCTCCTTCATGAACGGCTTTCCCCTGGGTGTGTCCAGGGCACCACAGAACTCTTCTGCCCAAACCCAGGAGCCTACCGGGGCCTGCCCACCTTGCCTCCTTCCCCACTCTCTGTAGCAGCAGCCGCAGCCATGGCGGGGATGAAGACAGCCTCCGGGGACTACATCGACTCATCATGGGAGCTGCGGGTGTTTGTGGGAGAGGAGGACCCGGAGGCCGAGTCGGTCACCCTGCGGGTCACTGGGGAGTCGCACATCGGCGGGGTGCTCCTGAAGATTGTGGAGCAGATCAGTGAGTGTCCCGCCGCCCGCCTGCTGAACTCAGTACCACGGGTGGCCGCCACGGGTGTCTCCGGGCACTTCCGGGCCATCCCTGCTGCTCAGCTCGCGATAATGGTGTCACGGTGACTCAGGCATTAGCTTAATCATTTGGTTCCAAAAAAGACATTTCCCCAACTTCCTCTCCCTCCTACCCTCTTCCCTCCCTCCCTCCTGCTCCAGCTGGTCTGCTAAAGATCAGACCCAGCCACGATCCCCCATTCAGCCACCAACAGGAGCGGAAGGAGTGGTCTGGCCTGGGCCAAGGCCAAAGTCACATTGCTGAGGTCTGAGGGGGTCTAGGTGACCTAAGGGCCTGCCCCCACACTCCCTACGCTTGGCGGAAGTTCTCAGCAGACTGGTGACAGGCCCAGCCTGGGTGGGAAGGCCCTGCCCCCACAGGAAGTTACAGCGGAGCAGCCTGTGGCATCAGTCATGGAGGGTCACGGGGCCAGTGACACAGGGGCTCCTCATCTTCCTTCCATGCCAGCAGTGGGGGCTACCCCTTCCTGAGAGGGCAGCAGGAATACCCCGATAGGCAGAGCCGGAAGGCAGGCCCACCACAGTCCCGGCCAAGAGCCTGGGCCTGCCTGGGCTGCCAGTGGGAGGGGGGTGGGTGATGGCGGGGAGGCTTCCTCAGACCCTGCCAGGCTACCACATGCAGCCCAGGAGGAGGTCAGTCCAACTATGGAGAGGATAGGGCCCAGAGTAGCCCAGCCACAAGGCTGAGGCTGCAAGGGGAGCTGCCAGGGGCAGGGCCTGGAGCAGCTGTGAGAGTAGAAGTCAGGAACAGAGACAGGGCGGTGAAGATCTGGGTGGCCCCAGGGCATGGCATGAGGGTAACGCAGGAGGCCTTAACCTGGAGTCAGACAGACTCCACTGCGCTACCCGCTGCTGGGCACCCCAGGGCAAGTCCCTTTAGCTCTTTGTTCCCTGTAGTAGGGATACTGTCACTCCTAAGCACATCAGCTCTATCTACTGAGGCTCAGCCTGGCCACCCCGGGCCAGTCCCTGGCCTCCTGGAGCAGCGGGTGAGACGGACCCGTGGAGGCTGCGTGCCGGCTGCCGCACAGAGGGAGCTATTATGGGGGCCTGGGGCTCGAGGACGGGGCTGCTCCGAGCCTAGGATGGGGAAAACCCCAGGAGAAGTCCTGGGAGGTGGCCTCAGCAGGGAGGAGCAAGGTGGTGGCTCTGGGACTCGGAGGGCTGTGAATTAGGGCTCTCGGCCAGCGAGGATGCCGGAGTGTGACCAGAAATGAGGCTGGATGGTGCCTGGCCAGCTCTGCACGGCCCTGAAGGCCTCCAGAAGGGGTCTAGACTTTCTTCTGGAGGGGAAGGTGGCCACCGAAGGGTTCTCAGCAGGAGACTGTCCTGCTAAGGTCAGCAGCAAGGCGAAGGGCTGGAGGCTGTGGGGCCCTGAGGAGGCTGTGGTCCTGGTTAGAGACACTAGGGCCTCCTAAGGCCGGGCAGGGAGGACGGAAAGGAGGGTGGATTTTGGAGGTGGGATTGGCATTGATCACATGTGGTGGCTAGAAGAGAAAGGGAGGATGCCTGGGCCTCTGGCATGAGTCCGCATCCCCCAACCCTGAGAGGTGGCGTGGGGAGCTGGAGAGGAGAGGGTGCCTCTGTGCACAGCGAGTCTGAGCTGAGCACCAAAAGCCAGGACCAGGAGTCGTGGTGCTTACGGTCCCAGTGTCAGTCACTTGGCCAGGGGAACAAAGGGTTCTGGAAGGGAGGAAGGCGGTGGACAGTCCCCTCAGCCAGCAGCACATGGGTTTCTGGCTGGGGGCCCAGGGCGGGGTCTGGGCTGAGGGCCACGCATGGGGCTGTGGCAGAAAGTGGCAACTGAAGCCACAGAATAGGGAGACCCAGTAAGGGGACATGGCCAAGGCAGGAGAAGACGGTCCCAGGCCGAACCTGGGGAAAGGACAAGGTAAAGGGCAGGTCAGGAGAGGGGCCAGAGAGGACAGGA